CTGTGAATAAACAGAGCTCCTTTTAAGAAGCTACTTTTCCCGAAAAAATCTGTTCTTCATGGGCTAATTCTCTTCTTCCTAGTATGTTGTGTTTATACTTTCAAATATCAGCCTCAAAAGTCAAATTACTTAGAAATCAGTCAAATACAACAGACCAAACTCATAGGCCTGTATTAGGAACCACTTTCATACAAATCATAGTGGTAAGCACTGTTAGAAGTTTCATATTCCTAAAAAACACTAATCACTGATTACCCTGAACTACAGATTGATTTTAAGGTATCTTCTACTATCAGTCTAGTTGTATTAACTATGATAGTCACTGCATAGGGTTTCCGAGGATGCAAATCTTTACGGGAGCAGAAAGCCTCATCTTTCTCCCGTGAAACAGCTGGTAGCTTCGAACTGCTGACCTTGCGGTTCGCAGCCTGACTCATAACCACTATGCTACCAGAGCTCCTTGTTATTGTGATTAGCATATCCTATAAAGTATTACATGTGAAATAGTCATGGCAGAGAAAAATTAATGAAGGAAATAAATGAAAATCCAGCCCTCTAATTAATTATACATCTCCAGTCCATACTAACCGATATATACTGTAAGTCCCATTGTAATGATTTCATATTACTTTGCATATCAGTATCACTATCATGCATGGTATACGTCAAGTTTGCAATTTTAAAAGTTACTTTGCACAAAAAGAAAACAAATTGCATAAAAATGAATGATATTCTAATTTGTGCATCGGAATAAGGACATCCATGTGATTTGGGTACTTTTTTTTTTAATGCACTGCAATGAGTTTTTTCAAAAAAAGAAAACATACTGAGACTCTGTGTAGGATAAGTATTGTATTGCTAACTGAAAGATAGGCAGTTCAGATCCTCCTGAGAAACCCTATACAGGATCATTATGAGTCGGACCCAACACTGCGGCACTCAACAACAACAATAAGTCTAGTGCATCTTGACTGTTACAATAGGTTTAGCAACCTTAAATAGTAGAGAGATGCTGCAAGTTGAATAATACTGTCTTAGCATATAAATGTTCACTAAACATACATCCAAACCATTCTGGAAACTCCTTAGAAAAGACTGGTCATTTTTAAAAATGTTTTTTTTTAAAAGCTTTCTCTCATGCCTTGTTGTTGTTGTGAAGTGCTGTCGAGTCGGTTCCGACCCATAACGACCCTATATAGGGTTTCTGAGGAGTAGCTGGAGAGCTTGAAGTGCCGACCTTGCAGTTCAAACAGCTTTGCAGTCTGGCACATTAACCCACAGCGCCACACCAGGACTCCTCTCTCATGCCTAGAGTCTTATAATTCTGGTTATAAAAGGTTTTGCAGTGACTGTTTTAAGTTGTTCTGGTGGTGGCAGGGTTTTTTGTAATCTAACAGTATTTCCTATGCACTAAAGGAGTCCCTGTGTGAAGCAAACCGTTAACCAAAAGGCAGACCTTGCAGTCTACCCAGAGATGCTTTGCAAGATAGAGCTTGTGATCTGCTTCTTAAAACTCAGCCACTAAAAACCCTGTGTAGCACAGTTCTATTCTGACACACATATGGGCACCGTGAATCAAAGTCAACTTGCCAGCAACTTATTCTGGTTAGGGCTTTTTTTGTTTTATGTTGTTTTGGTATTTGTTTTAATCACAGACACGTGTTTTCACTGCGACCAAGTCAATCCCAACTCATAGTGACCCTTTAGGGTTTCCTATGTAAATCTTTTTAAGGCTGTAAATCCTTACAGAAGTTCACTGCCACATCTTTCTTCAGTGGTGTGACTGCTGGATTTGAACCGGTGAACTTTCTGTTAGTGGATGAGCACTTAAACACTGTGCCATTAGGGCTCCATCAGATATGTGTACCCATGTGATTATGCCAATGGGATGGGAGCAGCGATGGTGTCTATAACTCCCGTGAAATGACCGGAAAAGGGCCAGGCATACATGCACTCCCTGCTCCTCCCCTCCCACAGTACTATGGTAAGAATGGAGGAGTGATTCAGAGATGGGAGTCACATCCTGAAGACAATAGAGGCAACCCTTAACTCCACGAGGTTAAATAAGAGAGAAACATACATGTTTGTTATTTAAGTCAGAGTTTAAGTTGAGTCGTTGATAAAACCATTATATGTGTTCTTTACGTAGTCCTGGTGTGGCGCTGCGGGTTAATGCGCTGGACAGCAAAGTCGGTATGAACTGCAAGGTT